ACCATCTCTCCAGAAATTAGCCCTGGAAATCTGAAAGCCAACTTCACTGACAGCTTCGTGTTGGTTTGTTTTCAGTTCCTGGTGGGAATTGGGGCTTCGTTGAAAAGTAAGATCACTAGGAAAGAATAAACGTTCATTTCCACACTGAGTATGGAGTATGTCAGGCCTGACTCACTAAGTGGGCAGAGGGAAACCGCTGTCTGTTCAAACTGTCCCCAAACAGTGCTGTTCTCCTTGCCCAAAGACACAGCAAACTCCCAAGAACAGGAACCTAGACCTTCCCAACTTCTTCCCTCAGGCAGAGCAAATCAAATTTCCTGTGACACTAGAAACCAATGACAACAGGGTGGCAGACTGGCAGGAGAGGTGTGCAGCTCCTGGTTGATCCTCCTGGGTCTAACCACTCAGCTCACTCTTTTAACTGAAAGGCAAATGCGGGGCGGTGGGGGGGGGTCCTCTTCTCTATTGGAGGACTCGCTTCCAGCAGTAAATTTACTTCACCGCTCTCATCCTTCCGCACCAGAGTACCCCCGAGAATTGAGGAAGCAGTCTACCAGGACGAAAGGCAAAGCCGGGCACCACCCCATGTGTGGCAGCCGTCGTGATGGCAGGCCTCGGCAAGAGCAGGAAAGAACAATTCCGGGCTCAGTCAACCTCATGGGGACGCTCCCACAAGGTGATGTACTCCGTTTGTAAAATCACCTTTTAGCTGGAGCCAGCACATAAATAAATGGAAGGGTTGCCAGGGTGGCAATGTTGTTGTGCCCCTTAAGACGAGGAGAGCCAAGAGCTTCCCAGACACAGGCCAGGGAAGGCATTCATTCCTGCTCCTCAGCGCTTCTACCTAATGTCTCCAGCAATCCTAAAAGCAGTGTTTGGCCAGTGACCACGCCCCTCCTGGCACGGAAGCAGATTTTTGCAGGGTGCATAGCAAATGCGGGTTTTCAGGGTGAGGATGGCTGGGAAGAAGTTGTTCATTTAAAAAAAAAAAAGTCAGAGTTGAAACAAGGAATAGCAGGACGTCTTTAAATAACAACTGTTACAAAGACAAGAATTCCTTTCCTTTTACCTCCTAATCCAGGAGAAGAGAAAAAGTTAAGTCGCCCAAAAGCCATTTCCTCAGATGAGTTTGTCTCTGCTCGCTGAGGAGCGTCAGCCTGCTTTTTCAACTGTAGTGAGCGGTGCATGAAACAGGGACACGGGAGTGTATTAGTGGGCAGACGCTGATGGGTGTGTGTGCATGGAAGGACAGGCATAGAAATAAGTAGTCGAGAAATCAAGCACCGGCACTGACTCTTCTCCCACACTTCCGTGCTGATATGCTATATTTATTCAGGCTGTGTGGTATGAAACTATCAGAGGGAACGGCTGCTATTGCAGAAGAGAGAGAGGGAGGGAGGGAGCAAAGAAGGAAGGAGAAACCCTAAATTACTGAGAAGGTGAACAGCAACTAAACTACCTGTTGTTTATGTTACACGTCCTGGTTTGTGGACAACTGTAAGGCTCGAATTCTGCCTTACTGTCTAAGACAGTGAACACAGCCCCGACCACGGGGGAAATTCAAGTCGTAGCCCCTGTTCTTCTCTTTCTAAAGTGCAGCCACCTGCAATGATTCCAAATAAAGTCTCCTATAACCCACGAATCTAAGAGGATCACTGAAGAAATCCATTCACCCCCACCTAATGGTCGCTAAGGGCTGCCCCCACCTGTGAACTAGTGAACCGTCAAAAGAAGAGGAAACCACGCGTGAGATCTGCATCAAATCCGCATGCTAAGCCCCAAGTCTCCTTTAGAACAAACAGCACTGCCGCTCAGCTCCTCACCCTCACCAAGGTCACCTGGCAATTTGGTTATTGCCAGGCTGTCAGTCTGGGGAGGGGTCTCCAACACCCACAGGCCTGGCCTGTCCAACGTGTTTGCATCTTCAGGGTGGAGTACAGTCACAGGGTAGACAATTCCAAGTGGACACAGTCGTCAAGATTCAAACAAGCTTCAGAAGAGCCCCGCTAGGAGGAACTCTGGAAGCACAAGCTGTTCCCACCTGCAGGGCACAACACAGCTTAGCCAAAGTTGCAGGCTTTAAGGTGTGAGGTGACGCTGGAGCACAAGGGGTCTGGGGCGAGGAGTGTGGTGTCAACAGGGCCCTGGGCTCACAAGTTCTTTGTCACACTTCCCACCAAGAAGCCACATGGCCAGCTAGAAACTGTGGCAGGTCCGGGAGACTTGCTGGATGAAGTCACTCCCTGCCTGTGTGACTCCGTGGAACACTGCCGAGGTTGACAGACAGCTCTCTGACTGGATGGGCAGCAATCTGCACACCAAGTACAGGAAAGACGGCTTCTTCCCACCACCATCCCTTTCCTCGGGTGAACCTCGCCCGTGCCTTTCGCGTGGGCTCACCTGGCTCAGGCTGAAGCTCAGCCTGTCCACACACAGCGCTCTCCTTTCTGAAGGGAGCCGAGGATGAGGCATATGCCAGCAGGGGGAAACAACTGTAAAGTGATAGGAAGACCTGGGCTTGGGGCCAAAGGAAATAATCACTTTATTGTTCATGATGCACGATATCCAGAAATACACTGAAGTTTACACCAGAAGAAATTGGGGGACGCTGCCCCCAATCATCCTTCAGCTGGGACACACAATGCAATCACCCCAAGGAGCACAGGTCTGCCAGCTTACAAGGGGTGCCATTACAATTGTCACGCTGAGTGACCCCAGGCGATGATAGGGTTGATCTCTGTGAACTTTCTTTTCCTCATCTGTATGTCCACTGACAGGTCTGTTACTATAAAGAGAGAGGAGGAGGAGAAGGAGGAAGAGGAGGAGCAGAATGGACCAAAAGCACTGGGCCCGGCTCAGAAAACCTTTGAGGAAGACCCCAGCTCTATCTTTTCCCCTAGGACAGGGAAATGATGGCACAGAGTGTACATAATAACCAATATCCTTCCCTCCCTTCCCTGGTGGACCAGCCAAAACAGAAACCAGTCCTTTCTGATCTAAACCCTGTACTTACGGTGCTTACAGCGTAGCTGTTGAACTAATGAACTCGGTTCTAACACCTCCATCTCAGAGGCTCTGTGACTGACAGCCTGGGGCAGCGCTGGTTACAAGCATTTATGTGGCCCACATAAAGCTGCTCACAAAGCAGCCTGTAGCCACAGAGCTGAAAGGCTCACCACAGCTCGAATGAAATAACCTGGAAATTAGGTTTCAACGGCCTCCTTTGCCTACTAAAAATATCTGCTCCGGGAGTCCAAGTACAGTATTTTCTGCAGCGTTATATCCCCAGAGCTTGGGAAAATCTTGGCAACAAATGTGAACATTTATGAATGAATGAATGAATGAATGAATGAATGAACGAACGGTCTTTGCAAGCTTAAAGGCAGGGATCCTAAATTTAGCATCCTTCCTAATTAAATTCAAGTTGCTGCACTTAGGTATGACAAAATGTTTAAAAATAAAAGCAGCAGATGCTTGATCTCTAGGTGGCAGGGATTTTTTTCTTTTTTCTTTTCTTTTTTTTTTTTAAAAAATCCTCCATTTAACCAAATTCTGGCACCCACAAAGCTTACATGTTATATCTGCCTAAGTCAAGCATAGTAGATGTACAAAGACAACTATGACCAGTTGCTGTTTAAAAGTATTCTGACTACCACTCTCTGGATATATCACTTCTAAAAGTCACCTTTATGTGGTTTAAAGATAGAGGGAGGAGATCGATAGCCAACTGATAAAGACCAGTAAGAACATGTTAGGGCCAAACCAATCTTTATGCTAACAAAATGCTTAGGGTGCGTTCACCAATCCAGAAAAGGAACAGTTGCAGCCTATGGTGAGTTCTAGAAGAGAAAAGTGGGACACAATGACTCAGGACAGATGTTCTGAGTTCAGGATCTGTGTCATATACATATATTCACATACACACACACACACACACACACAATGACTCAGGACAGAAGTTCTGAGTCCAGGATCTGTGTCATACACACACACACACACACACACACACACACACACATACAAACACACACACAATGACTCAGGACAGATGTTCTGAGTTCAGGATCTGTGCCATACACACACACACACACACACACACACACACACACACACACATACAATGACTCAGGACAGAAGTTCTGAGTTCAGGATCTGTATCTCTCTCTCTCTCTCTCTCTCTCTCTCTCTCTCTCTCTCTCTCACACACACACACACACACACACACACACACAATGACTCAGGACAGAAGTTCTGAGTTCAGGATCTGTCTCTCTCTCTCTCTCTCTCTCTCTCTCTCTCTCTCTCTCTCTCTCTCACACACACACACACACACACACACACACACACACACATACCCCAGCAGTAATTCCAATGTACAACTTTAAAAGGTCAGGAAGCAGAGCTCACTTCCCAGGGCTCACATTCACCATGACCTGCCACAGACATGGGCTGCAGCTAACACCACCCAGCTGGAGGTGAAGTCTAGGATAAAGGACACGGGCTATTTCTGAATGAACACCACTTTACTCATCTTTAAGGTTTTAATATCGTAACAAGACAAAACAAAAAGCTAGAAAGCGGCCGTAGAGGACCTAAGATGAGCACAGAGAGCACAAGTGAGCTCCTCCTGCTGCCATTGTTCTGCTGTGGGAGTCTTGGGGAGCCCCAGGGCACACCTTGCAGCATCGGTCAGCAGCCCTGGCACCAGGGAAGACCACAGCCTCTGCAGCGCAGGCAGTGCACAGACGCAGGCATGCTGTTTTCTGCAATTACAGCACTCACCCTCAGACGATTCAAAAAAGGGAGGGGGCGTGGGAAGCCCCGGCAAGCTTGACAGGAAGCTAAAAGGACAATGTCATCTAACAAAATCTGCAGGTCTCTATTCAAACGGAACTCTTTAATTCCCCCCCCCAAAGGTTTCCTTAAATAAATCCTCCCAGACTTAAAGAGAACCTTGTAATTGTGTCCCCAGAACCGCTGAATAAACACAGCATACTCACAGACTCCCAGCGGCTGTAACTTCAGAGCAGAGAACACAGCTCCACTATTAAAGCTGTCTTCCCTCTCTTCTACCAGATCTTTTCAAAAGCCAACTAAAAGAACCATTCCTCAGTATAAAGACCAGCAGAAATCTTCAACTTCTGCTTCGTTCCCCGGCCTCCAGATCCCGGCAAAGAGGTAACCAGGCATCTGATGGCCCCCAGAGCACTGCGGGGTGACTTCAAGACCTGTCAGTTACGGTGGCAGCTACACTCACTGCTGTGGCGGCTGCTTCCGCAGGAAGGGATGCTGGGAGATTTTCTTCCCCCAATCTCTGCTGCAGCCTAGTCCTAATCCATCACTGTTTACAGATAGCCGGGTGAATAAAAACCACAGGAGCATCCAATAACTTTTCACCTAACCTAGGCATTTCTCTATCAAGGGATAGCATCAATTACTTTGTTGTTTTAAGAAAAAGTAAGGACAGGCTGCTATTCCCAGGCGTGACTTATATTTTATACCCATGGACTTTCTTAAAACACACTTTAAAGGAACACTGAAGATGGGAAGTCAGTCTGGCAGGTTGTGTCAGTGACAAATCCCCATCATGAGACAGGCAAAGCAAGGCTGCCAGAAAGGCCAGGTTCAAACTGACATTTGATAAACGGTATTTCAAGTGGGCTTGAGTTTGGAGTTGTGTTTTTTGGTTATAGTTTTATCTGTGTTGTGATTGTTGATATGGCTATATAAGACACTGTCGTGTGCGGGGAGTTACCACCAAGTATAAGAAGGTGGTATCTCCAGATTATAAATAGGAACTAGGAAATGAAGAAAAATAAATCCAGACACAATCCCATAGCACAGAGATAATCATTGTCAATATTCTGTAACAATTTACTTGGGATATTTTTCTCTGTCCTATGTCATATGAATGGAACTTAACAATTAACATTTTTTTCTTTAGTAATATTGATTTCCAAGTTACGTATTATTTTTGAGTTGCATGATTGTTCCTGGGATGATGGAGAACAAATATCCCACGAAGATGGATGCTAAAAAGAAACCCCACACTAGCTCAGAATTGAGTATAATAAAGGGTTATTTATTTAGGGGTAGACTCACAGATCACAGTCCTCTCCACAAACAGGGAACAGGAACTGAATCCAGCAGCCAGAAGAGAGAGTTAGCGGGCTTTACATCAGCATTTATAGTGTAAGAGGTCACGTCCAAGTGAGCTGGTATCTTAAAGGCTATTGGCTGGAGGAGTCCCCTTTTTGTTTAAATAAGAGAAGTCTAAGCCTAATATAAAACAATATACAATAAGAACAAATATCAAGTATAAAATTAGAATTACAGCCAGCATAAACAATATCAAGCAAGAAACATGTGATAAATGTTTCAATAATTATCTTATCCTAAGGAATCTAAGTCTTGTATTAGAAATAGCTTAGCTAAATCATGAGAGGAAAGTTAACTATGATTATCTAGTCTTCAACTCCATCAAACACCTGACAAGGGAAATAAAATTACTTAAGTAAACAGGAAGTATAATCAAGCAACTTCCAAAATATGTAATAAATGACAGAGACAACTGGCTACCTGGCCAATCACCCAAAGTCTCATTTGCAACATTGGAGCAACCAACTTTGGCTAAGGCCTAGAGTAACTGATAGACCATTTTCAGAGGCAGGAAAATTTTCAGAACTGTCTTATCCTGTCTTGGCAAGATTTGACAGTCTTTCTCTTGTATCCTGCTTGTCCTGTCCAGACACCTTGCATTTTGTCAGTAGTCAAGGCATGGGCAGTTCCTTGCCCAAAGGCCAGTTTTGCCAAGAAGAAAACAAGCTCCAAGTGAATTGTCTTCAGTGCCCAACATTCTCTGAGGAACAGATCAGAGCTGCCAGGAGCAACTGTGTCTCACATCAACAGAACCCCAAGTTATTTAAATACCATATTCTACAGTTCTTTGAAGTGACTGAAGATTACTTATTTATGCAGAATACAATCTCTATGTTTCTAAAGAACCTGATTAGTCTAACTATAAGTATGAAAAAATGGATGATTATTGGTCTATAATTTTTAATACATATATAGCATAAAGACTGACTTCATATTAAAATATTAAACAATCTTTAAACAACTGTACAGCAAATGAGGACAATGACCTCAAAATGTAAACAATGTACAAGTATCTTGAGCAGAGGTAGAAATATATAGTACAATATGATAAATTTATGCTAAAATTGCATCAATATATAAAATATCTTAAACAGAGGTAGAAGCATGAATGCATACAATATGAAAAAAATAATTTTGCCTAGGTGTACAAATATTGTAGACAGAAATAGGAACATATTCAATGTAATTTGAATTTGTATCAATATACAAGAATCTATACCAATGTAAATTGTCTATAAATAATAGCTCACAAGTATTCACTCTATTACTCACTATTATTATTAGTGTAAGCTCACACTAATTCACCTATTATCCCATCCAATTTCCCTCTTTTTTTTCCAAAGAGATCCCTGAGCATACATAATTTTCACCCCAATACCCAACCCTATATCAATTATAATCAACCCCTAATTGATGTTCCTAACCCTGAGGACAAACTTTGTTGGGAGAGGAGATGAAATCTTCCAGAATTACCTCCAGCTGTCATGGGGGTAATGTTCTTTCTATGGGATCCTGTGAAAGTAAAATGGTAGTTAAGTTCCAAGATTACTATCTGGTATAATTGCAAATAGTCTGAGTATTTAATAGGGTTTTTCTGAGGTTCCTATTTGGAGTTCTGGTTGAATTACTTTTTTGGCAGCTCTTAGATCTGTCACCATTCTCCATTTTCCAGATTTCTTTTTAATAACAAATACAGGAGTATTCCAAGGGCTGGTTGATTCTTCAATATGGTGAGCATCTAGTTGCTCCTGTACCAGCTGCTCTAAAGCCTGCATTGTCTCTTCTGTTAAAGGCCATTGTTTAACCCATATTAGTTTCTCAGTTAACCATTTTAAAGGCAGGATCATTGGTACCTGTAAAGGTTTGGTAGTTGCTTTGTGTTCTTGTACAGCCTGAATGGCTGTTGACCTTTGTGTATAGTGCCTTATAATATCCTTCGCAGAAACATGCATTTCTGGGACTGCAGGAATGTTAATCTGGGTATTCCATTGCTGCAGCAGGTCACAACCCCATAAATTCACTGCATTATTAGCCACAGATGGCCTCAGCCTTCCTCTCTGTCTTTCTGGCCCAATGAAGTCAATCCACCTCGTGCCTTGTTTCACTTGAGATAGGGTTCCAATTCCTAGGAATTGAACATCTGCCTCTTGAAGAGGAAAACTCAGATGCCAAGATTCTGAAGTAATGATACTCATGTCCACACCCATGTCTAGTAATCTCTCAATTACAGTGTTAGTTATATGCACTCTTAGTTTTGGTCTTTGATCATTAACAGAAGTCTGCCAGAATATACATTTCTTATTTCCTATTGGAATTTTTGATTCATCCTCCATGTTTATTCCATCATATAGAACAGCATTTTTTTTTTTACATCAGGCAATGGATTTTTAAATTTCCCTGATGAGACAAGTCCTCCATAGTAACTGGGAATAACTGGACCATGTTTGACTCAGGGGCCTGTGAGAGGCCCCCCCAAGAAGTTTCCCAATGGTATCATGTTGCCTTCTCTGTCTTTTGTTGGTCTGCATACATTGGTCCAATGTCAGCCTTTGCCACACCTCCTACATAATCCAGAAAGTTGATACCTTTTATTTTTGTCATTCCCAGAGGAGACATTATTTCTAGAAATCCCTTGTCTACAGTGCCTTCTCAAATGTCCTATTCTACCACAATTAAAACATTTGAAATTTTGATGTCTCCTCATACCTTTGGAAATTTTCTCCTACCCAAGCCTCAGTATTAAAGTCAAATGTTTCAAATGTCTCAATGTTATACTTAAGCAAAGAGCAAAGCATACTTGTCAGTATTTAACCAGGCACAAATATGCGGAACCAAAGTGGTGTGGGACGTTTTGTGTTGCCTCTGATTGCATCTCACTGCCACACAACTGCAACTGCAACACCTGCTGGCCAATAAAAATTATTAAACCTACAACAATTTACCAAAATCTCACAACAAAGATAACTATTTGATTAATAAATAAATCAATAAACTTGAAAGTTATATAATTGCAGACAATATTACCATCCAGGAATTTAATAACATTTTTGCTTATACTATGGATGGTATTCTGCAAGGTTTATATGGGTTTTCTGATACATCCACTTATTGAATATTGGGACTTAGTTTTGTTTTTCATATTATATCCTTAAGAAAATGGTTTGATAACAGAATCAAGAATGAGGTACTTTTAGAAATGATACAGTCTTTACAGACTAATAATGAACAGATAGCTGACAGGATTAATACCATCGAAAATCAAAAGTTACCTGAAAACATTAATACTATTGGAAAGGGTAACATTAATTTGACAGACAAAATTCAATCCATGTCAAAGGGTACTGAGAAATAATCTGAAAGAATTCATACTGTTGCATTGGACAATCAAAATCTGTTTAAAAGTTATGATAGGTTAGCGGATAGAGTATCTATCCAGGAAGGCAATCTACATGCTATCCAAATAATGATCAAGGATGAGATGTTATCTTTAAAGGAAAAACTTCAGTCCTTGGAATCACATGTGCAGAATGAGGACCAGAGGCTGGGTGCCTCCATGAAATCACTAGAAATATATGCAGGCCAAGAGATTCAGGATTTACAAAAGACAGTGGTAAAAACATTTAAAATGATTGAGGAAATTATTGGAGCTGGTGAGCAGGGAAAGAAGGTACAAGTACAGGATTTAACATTGTCAGTACCTGTCAGAGTCAGAGATGACCTGCCCAGGGTTTTAGATTCACATGGGTGAACTCATGAGAGACTGAACCTAGCGCTTCCTGACCAACCTGTAGGCACCTCTTTTAAAGATAGTCTCCTCTTCCTCTTCCTCCAGCAACTACTCTCTGCTTATACAACTGTAGGGAGGAACTTAGGCAATCTCCCAGCTTTCATGACCTGTGTTCACAATCAGCTTTCTGTATCTTATCAGCTTCCTCTCTCCCTAGATACACAACTTCTCTTCATAAAAATACGATTATTCGTCCATATATGTGACTTATCGTTTCTTTTTTTTAAAACATTTATTTACTGTTTGTTGGAGGGGAGGAACGTGGATGCCACAGAACAACCTACAA